TTAATTAGTGCCTTGTTTGGCAATCTTACTTACATAGATTGATTGAAAGTATGAAGACCAAGATGGTGTGGTCTTTTTTTTGTGGTCGTAGTCTCCTTCCATTGTATAGAAGTTGGTTTAATATAGTTCCTATTCAGTAATAGAGGTAATCTTTTGTCCAAGTGCCCCAACGGACAAAGATTAAAGGGAAGATTAAGCAAAAATCTTGCCTATCTTTTGGGCAAACTTGGAAAAATTCGAAAATCAGGATTAGCCTAGATTAAAGAAATAACCATAGAAATGGGAAAAATAGACACTCGAGGGACAATTGAAGATAAAGACAAGGCAATTCCAGTGAAAAAGTCTAAAGTCCTCTACTATACTAGTTAGCATAATTCCAGTGAGTTTTCCCGATTCTTTAGCTGGAATGTGTTGAAAGCACGATACCCTGCTCTGAGTATTTCCGCCGTATGATGCATGGGGACGTTAAATCCTCCGCCCTAGACGTCGCTAATGCTCCCCTCTGTACCATAGGAATGCAGTGGCCGGATTGCCTATACACCCAGACCAAAAGGCTTCTTATAATTTTGGCGAGCAACAGAGAAAAAAGAATGTATTACCTGAGTAAAGTAAAAACTTGTCAGCTTCTGGTCTGGTCTGTCTTCTGGAGGTGCATTTTCTCTACCGGCACTTGAAGCAACGGTCGCCTGTAAAAGTCCGGTCACTCGAACCCGCGCAGTCGGGACGTCATCAGCCTCCTCGACGACCTTGAAGGTCAACAGAAGCGGCGAGTATAGCAGACCGACAATGGCATAGAGCGCGAGAAGCTTCAATCGCCGCGGTCGCTTCGGCATCACACCGTACGACAGCGAAGTCTGCAGATCCCCAGGACCCGGCTCCAGACGCCTCGACCTGATCGACCTGTTTGGCAGACGCCAGTGCACCTTTTGTCGAGGCGGCGGCTGCAGGCGACCTCGCGTCCAGATGGAGGCGGCTCGGATGTACGTCATGCAGATGAGCGTTGCACCCAGACAGAGCCACAATGCCTGGGCTAGGGGCAGACCGAGCGGAGTGAGGTAGGCCGCGAAGCGCTGATAGGCCTCCAGTTGCCCGGTCAGGTTGTGCGGCAGATTGGGGAAGACGCGAACGCCCAGAAGAATGAGGAGTCGAAGGCTGTCGGTGATCACTCCCGTCGTCAAGTAGACGCCCGGAGAGGACTGGAGGGCCCTGTTGCCGAGCACCGACATGATGAGGATGTTCAACACGAGGCTGGCCAGCGAGATGATAAGGCCGGGCCAGGCGATGAGAAAGTGGCGAGCCATCGCGAGGCTGTCCGACGTGCAGTAGATGTCGTCAACGCAGATGAGTTGATGACCGGCGGCTGCGGCCGGCGGCCGGGAGAGGTTGAGCACCGGCTGGCCTGGCAGTTGCAGCGTCGGCCGCACGAGGAGCGGGTTGTGCGGATCAACGGTCACGGCATCCGAACTGTTGAGCATGGCCGAGGCGAGAAGACGGCGGCAAGACCGCGCTGGAGAACGTGGCGAGGCGGATTTGGGCTGGCGGGACGACTGACCAGAGTCGTCGAGGCGGGCAGGGCGGGGCAGGGCAGGGCAGGGCAGGGCAGGGCGGGGCAATGCTGCGTCTGCGTCTGCGCCAAAGGGCGGCGTTGGCTGCGGCGGCCGCTGTCTGTCTGCCGACGTCTGTCCTTCCCTACATGGGTCTGCTAGTCTGTCCGCTCTGCTCACGCCTATCTTTCACGCTTCTCCTGCTCGCAGCGATCGATACCTGACGGCCTGCGTACACTCTCCGTCTCACGGAGCCATCCCAAGCCACACACGAATTGGTCTGCCTTCGTTTCGTCCGCCCCAACGTATACATGTCCGTCTATCTGTGCGCGTTCCCAGTGCACGTGCCCGCAAGCATTTGCCTGAGCGTATGTGTGTGCACGTGTGTGCAGATACTTGACACTGTACGAGACAATTCGTGCAAACAGTCTGACGGTGCACGTACGCACCGACGGATTCCGAAGTGCATTCCGCCTCCTCCTGCCATATCATCGTCACACCCGCGGTCAGCCTCGTGCTCGCTGGCTGTGAATCATTCTGCTTCTATGGGCCAAGCACATGCAGACACGCAGGCCAGCAGGCAGGCCGACACGCGGGCGCACAGACAGGCAGGAATCTCCACAGTCCTACTCAGGCTCGTCGAGGCCTGTCGGACTTCGTCAGTATTTGGCCACTGCGTCGCTTGCCCTCTCTTAGCGCGAAGTGGCCAGGACGAGACAGCTCTAGCAGATCGATTAATCCGTCGTTTGTTTCCAGATCTTCAAGCTAGACCCTGCTTTCCCAGTCTTGCCGGCTGAGACATTCTGAGGCCGGCTTTTGGTCTGAGGTGCCTCGGTTCCAGCGCTGGCCAGAGGCCTGTCACCGTTGCTTTTGGTGGCAACATCGTCACCGATTTTTGTGACTCGGCTTTCCATCCCGAAGGAACAGTGGATTGGAAGCAGTTAGCGAATTGGTCCCACTGGAAATTAAAGTAGGCTGGTTGCTTTGACATAAAAGACTGTTGGATTGTGAGAAGAAGCCCTGCGAATCCAGTGTAAACCGTGATGGGCTGTCGTATTTGTTTAGTAGATTGGTGGTGGGGTACTTTCATTTTCGTATGAAAGTGCACGAAGAAGAGATTCGTTGGTCGATCTGACCAGATGAAGACGGATAAATCTCGTTTGACTGCAGCCGTTTGGCTTTTATACAATATTCATTTTGACGCAGTCTACAATACTTCCTCCCTCGTTCTAATCTAGTTCATATGACGGACATCATCAGAGCTGGGCGTCATTCTTGTAAAAGTCTTACGTTAACACGAGGGCAAGAACACTATCCTTATATAGACTCAATTGAGCCAAAAGAAAATTAAAACATATAAAGATCGATATAAAGTGGCTTGGCTAATTATATTTCATACTTGTCCTGTTTCTTTTGCTCGAGTGTGCGCGTATTAGCGTCTATACGCAATACAGTTCCTAAATCAGAGTTGTCAAAAGGCAAATTACAGGCACTGATCACCAAGGCCTAAATGCCCAAGAAAAAGCCCTGACCGAGTCTGCGTAAGTCCGTAAGCAAGTATGGTTGAGACAATACAATATGAGCTTGTAAGCATGAAAATCAAGTTATGAAACCATTTGTCCTAACCTTTCAGTCTAGAGTCATTAACGTTTAACCCTGCGAATATATGAAGACCAAGATGCTGTGGCCTCTGGTGTGGTCGCAGTCTCCTTTCGATTGATAGAAGTGGGTTGACCCACAAAAAATGGCGACAACTTCTGACATATGAGATGTATTCACCCAATTTCGTTTAAGGTGACGAAGGACTGGTGATAGAATTTTCCCACAAGTATATGAATAGAGCTGACGCTTCCGTTGGATTTCACATAGCCTTGCTTTCCCAAAAGTTGTTCTCATCCAGGCAGAAGTGGACTGCAGTTTCGACGTCGCATCGGTCTTATCAACACCTCGAGTTTGAAACTGCAGTCCACCCTAGATGAGAACAACTTTTAGGAAAGCAAGGCTATGTGAAATTCAATGGAAGCGTCAGCTCTATTCATATACTTGTGGGAAAATTCTATCACCAGTCCTTCGTCACCTTAAACGAAATTGGGTGAATACATCTCATATGTCAGAAGTTGTGATAGGACGAGGGCGAGACTAGAGGTTAGGAAATGGATAAAGAGGCCAGGACAAACCGAGGATTGATAGCATAACCGCCTCGACAGAAATTTGTTCAAGAGATTGGCTTCACTTGTTTGTATCTTCGTGCGGAGAATGGCAACACTCACTGATGATGCCGACTACGATGCTGGCGAAACGTCTGAGAAGCTAGCAAGTCGACGGTCTGACGCTGGAAATGATCATGGAATGTTAAAGCTCCTGAAATGTTTAGACTAGTTGAGATTACCAGAACTGAAATTCTTTACAGACTATTTAGTTGTAAAGGCGAAAAATATAGAGCTAGCTGGGTATGAAGATGGACACTTTAGCAAGTAGAGCCTCAAAAGACGTCTGGAGATGTCAAAACCCCTCCCACTAACCCAATTTCCTACCATATCTTTGCTAGTACAATCTGAACTAATGATAATAAGGTCACTAAAAGTCGAAAAGACATAAATAGGTAATTGAATATATGAAGACCAAGATGTTGTGGCCTCTGGTGTGGTCGCAGTCTCCTTTCGATTGATAG